TTCACCACCTTTTCATATCATTTTTTATCAACATTGAACACTTATTTATACAGTCTCATGCAATCTTACCCAATACTGTAAGTCTCTTAGCAGATTCTTAACAGGTAAACAATAATTCAGGTTTTCTGTAAAAGATAATGACTCCTAAGAATGAATAATATAATTTATACAACAGAAAATATAAACCACTGCATAATCTACTTACATATGGGCCAGGTCTCCTAAATTTAAGAAAGCACCTACAAGGGTTGCTACTATGTAAGTTGGACCAAACATGCCTCAGAGTAGCTAACCTACAGTTACATTTTATAAAAATACATTGAGCACAGCTGATGCTATCCTATTGACTCTTAAAGGTGTAACCTCCCTATTTACCTATGTATTACAAGTTGCCATCTCCAGGCAGCCAGTTTCTGGAGGTGTCCACCGAATTAATCTGTATTATAATATTATATATTATATTATAACCTGCTAGGTCAAATTTAAGACTCCCAATATCATATCAACTTGATAGTGGCATTATTGAACTGAATTATGACTTCTAACCACTCTGTTCTAAAGACTTCGGAGTCAGGGTTTGCCAACATGCTCGTCTGAATGTGTTTGTGATCCGGATGCCCGAGCAGACAAGGTTAGATGTGATAAGTCGTGCTGGGTGGGTGGGGGGGGAGGCATGCAGAGGGGAACCCCTCCCAAGCACAAAGCTTTACAAAGTCTTCCTCCAAGATAAAAGTTAACCAGATCTCTCCCCAGACTTACTTTCCCGAGAGGGCATTTTTAGCTGGGCAAGCAGACGCATGAAAGCAAGACATTCAGGAGTGATGTTATTGTTTTGTGTAAAAGTACAAGGAGCCTGACAGGCAGGGACCTCTACACGGATGGCAGAGGACTAGTGTAACCACATTTACTCAGACTTATAGTTGTGGGATTTACTTCTGAGTAAGAACGTTGCAGCTTTACAGCCCAAGTCCTTTCAGGCGATAATTGGCAATAAATCCAATAGTACTGTCATGGCTTTTCGGGTCAGCCGTTGACTGGCCTCCTGTCACCGTCCTGCCTGCGGGTTAGTCTGCCTTTCCCACTCCTTGTGACTTCCGTTGGGGCTCACCAGTTGGGGACCAAGGGTTGTGAAGTCCAAGGAGGGGATTCCCAAGGAAGAGGGAAGGTAGGCGTCAGAAAGGGGCTGTTGGGAGGGGTTACAGCATCCCTCCACCCCCCTGGGTGATCCGGCTTTCCTTGCTTTCTCTCCAGCAGGCAGGGCTCCCTCTCTCTCTACTTTCCCCCAAGCCAATCCTGTCTCCTCCCCAGCCACCTCCCTTCTTCCTTTTTATCCCTTCCTCGCTCCCTCTCTGCCCCTTTCAGGGTGCCCCGCCCCCGCATAAACCTGGGGACGCTGAAGCTGCCCCTTCTGCTTCTCCCTCCATGATGCCCATTAGGACCATCAGCTGCACTGAGTGGCGAGCCCGCCTCCATTGCTGCCCAGGTAGGCCAAGGTCCTGCTCGGCCAGGACCGCCTGCGTTGGGCATGGGGAGGGTGGCCCAGTTCCAGCCTGGCCTGCTCTCCTCCAGGGCTTGGGCCTCGGCTGGTCGCGGGCCCACCCAGCAGCCCCGTCCTAATGCTGCCGCAGCTCCTCCCTCTCGTCCTGAGTCGGGCGCAGGCCCCCACTGGTCTTCGGCACGGCACGGCTTGCCTCTCGCTGCCCTGCCATTGCACCACTGGGGCTGCCCCAGGCCTCCTTCTGCTGCCCTGCCGTCGTGCCTCTGGGATTGTTGCAGGCCTCCTCTGTTGCTCAGGTAAGTTGGGGGCAGGGAAGGAGCCCCAGCGTCGCTGCTTCGCCCTCCGTGGTCTCTCTCCCTGGGACCTCCCAGACAGGATCGGGACAAGTACTAACGCCCAAGTAAATGTGGGTAAGATTTGCAGCCCAAATAGGCATCAGAGCCCAAGTATTTCAATTTTTAGCGCTTAAGAAAGAAAGATATGGCAGTTCCAGAGGGTTTCTCAGTTCTTTGCAAACGGGGGGGGGGGGTAGCACCAAAAATTTTCAAGGGGTCTTGCAGTTACAAGCTGGTTATGCCCCTGCCATTAATCCAGCTTTCCCTGGACTCTCATACAGACTACAACCTTGAAATTACATTCATCTTTTTTTTTTTTTGCAGTAGTCAGGTTTTAAAAAGTTATCTTTTTAAAAATATATATCATATCCTGTTTTAAAAGCAGGTGGCCCCTTTGAATTATTTGAAGTTCCTCCTAACCACCAAGTCAGGTGGTCTTATACTTAAAAATTATACCTATCAGCATGTTTAAAATAATATATAATTCGACCAATTGGATTACAAAATACTTGTTGAAAAAATCCATCTGAACAAACAGGAGGGGTGACAGAGCCAGTCTTAATCAATTTGAACTGTCCTTGATTTCACTGGGAAAACCTAGCATGTGCTTTACTCATTCATACAACATTCACTCATTCATACAACAACGTGTATATATTGAGAAAGATTTACTCTCATGTTGCACTTAAAATCAATGGGATTTATATGAATTCCATGGGACTTATTCTAACCTAAGGTGTGTTCAGGTTGCAGGATAAAGCACTCAGCTGTGGCTACATAGTGCCTATGGATTCTAATATTTTAACAATCTTGATACATACATCACAAGAATTAGTATTCTCCCCATTCTAGTAATCCAGGTCAATTATCATCATTTTAACACTATTGTCATTTCAAAAAACATGCAAGGTTCTAGAGTCAGGTTATAGATCCTTCCTTTGGTCCTTGCTATTCTAGGTCTAAACCCATTTATCTGGACCTACAGATTTCAGCATGACTTATATTAATGAGCTGCTTCAATGCTGATTTCCTGTTCAGACATAACTTCCATGATTCATTTATTTATACTCGGTTTTCCTCCCTCAATGGGGATCCAAAGCAACTTACAACATCATTTTCCCCTCCATCATTCCGTGATGGGAAACCACGTGTGCCGGTCATGCTTGTGGGGGAGAGTGCCGTCGAGTCACAGCTGCCAGTGCCTGCCTTCGCAGCACGACCCTGGGATTCCTTGGTGGTCTCCCATCTGAATACTAGTCAGGGCCGACTCTGCTGAGCTTCCGAGATCTGCCCAAGGTCTGGCTATCCAGGCTTCCAGGCATCGGGTTTCAGAGGGTGGCCATGTAGATCTGGAGTAGAACAGTTGGATTCGAGGCCAGTGGCCCCTTAGAGATTAGCAAGGGATCTCCCCTTCTGCTCTAGTGTGTCTGACAACAAGGGAGCTTTGACTCTCTAAAGCTTGCACCTTGAAGCTCTTGTTAGTTTCTAGGGTAAATCCAGGTGGGGTAGCCCTGTTGGTCTGAAGCAGCAGAACAAAATTTGAGTCCAATTTAAGACCAACCAAGTTTTATTCAAGGTATAAGCTTTCATGGGAATGCACACTTCTTCAGATCTGCATGCGCAGGAAAGCTTATACCCAGAATAAAACTTAGTTGGTCTTAAAGATGCCACTGGCCTCACACATTAGGTGTTACTGGACTTCAATATAAATGCATAGGGTTGTGTGCCTTGTGTGTTGTGCCTAAGCTTGAAACTCCACACAGTCTGTCTCTGTCTCTGTCTCTGTCTCTGTCTCTGTCTCTGTCTCTGTCTCTGTCTCTGTCTCTGTCT